AGTACATGTTGCAAAACACTTAAAATTAAAATCCCCATTGATTATTACGAGTTAAAAAAATACCAATACCTGGTCTCAATTATTAATTTACACTAAATTAAATTTATGGGTTAATAGGGAAGTGTAATGGCTCTCTGTAGACTGTGTTGCTTTTTAAATTTTTAGAATTCCATTTTAGGTACTTTCTCTCTGTTTTGTGTGTTGGTTGGGGTTTGGTTTTTAAAAATTAGTTTAATATACAAGCTGTGCTTCTGAATATGCCTTGAATTCCAAAATTTCTGAAGTGATGCTTTCCTCTCATGTATTTTGTATTTTGAATATGCTTGACTGGCAGACTTCAAACACGTTCATTTCATTTAACCTTTCAACAACTGTAGTTGCAAGTGACATCAAAATGCTGTAGGTCTGCTCAAAGAAAAGACAGTTTCATACCCTTCATTGAGTTTGTGAGACTTAACCAGTGTAACTTCTGAATGATGGAAAATTTGTAAAGTCCAGGCTGCCCTTGTCCCAGAAGAGAATTATGCAGCTCTTTCTGAAACACATTTCCTAAGTGCAAGTTTTCCAATTTTTTGCAGGTTCATATTGATCTGATTTAGACCTGATTGGATTATCTGCTGCTGTGGCAGTATATTTCTATCACAAACACATGGGAGGTAGATACACTGCATTCTTAACTGGATTCTGATACATCCTATGAATAAATTGCAGCTTCTTTCTGATTCTCTTGTCCAGTCCAAAGGGCACTGTATATAGAGTTTCAGCCCATAAGGATTCTGCCCTTTCCTTGAAATATTCCATCTAGTGGCACTTCAACTCTTTCACTGACAGTTCAACATTTTACTGCTAAATAACATGTTAAAGCTGAGCAATTCATATCAGTCCCCCTGAAGTTTAATTACAGTATAAGCTTTAATCTGAGCTAAGCAAGTCTCACCAGCAGAACACTCCAGTGATTCTGACATTAGTGGTGTAGCAATTTATGGAGCTCTGACAGTCCCAGATCATCCCCAGTAGCTACTGCCAGACTAGTACTTAAAGCTGCTCTTGTTTCACATGATTCCTATATTCCTTAAAGGAATAAAATAAAAGCTCTGCATATCATTTGACACAAATTAATTTCCCTTCTCCCATCTGCTTTCTCAGTGCCTGCAATTTTATTTCATATGCCTGCAATTTTATTTCATATACCTGTGTCTAGAATGGTGGGTGTGCATGCAATAACTGTTTTTTGCATATTGTGTACAAATCAGGCCAAATGAATTTTTCTACAAACCTGTTGTAAGAGGGCAGTACATGTTGCTGTCAGAGTTAATGTCTCCTCACTGACACTCGTCTGTTAGGATGGTTCATTTCCCAGAAACGCAGTTGAAGACATACAACTTTACTGCATGTCAACCAGATCTACTAATATTGTACTTTTTATAATGCCTGAGGGGTTTGTGTTTGCTCTTTCTTAAATATATCAATAAGATTAAAAAAAAAATTAAATTCTTAGTTACATTGAAATTCTAGTGATGATAATGATGTAATAATAATAATAATAGATATAATAATGTCGATTGAGGAGGGGTTATATGTCAACTTTGCTGTATTGCTAAAATAAGAATAATTTTTATCCCAGAAATAAGTATTTTTAGGTAGGTGCTTTAGGGGAACTAAATGCATATTAAAATTACACTTTACTGAATCCAGGTTAGACTGTTGTTTCCTCAGATCCCTCACTTTTCAAGCTATTGGGACTATTTGCAGCATCAGCTGGATTAGACTTTAGTTTCCAGTCTTTCAAATAGGACACAATGATAGAAGACCAGGTCTGAAAATGTTGTTTGTAAGTGGAAATCTGTATTGGATTTGGACTATTTTGATGTAGAGTTTTCAAATATGTCTGTAACTGAAGGAACTGCAGTTGTTTTTTACCATTTCCTTTCTGCACAGGATCAGATGCAAATTCTGAGCAGTAGTTAAAGCAGAAAACCTTGTTACCAAATATTTATAAAGAATACATAAAATCCACTATCAGTACTGCCCTGTATAATGTCCACCCTTTTTATTTCCTGTTTGCACTATCAACATAAAACAGACAATATAGTAAAATCTTTGTATATAATCATACCCTCAAAAATGCCTGGAACAGAATATACTAAGTTAAACATACTTGTATTAGGTGGATTTTTCTTAATGACAGTAGAAAAAGCAAGAAGTGCAGCTTCTTTTCTAACCTATTCTGCAATTGTTTTCAGCTCCATTAGCGCAAAGCTAATGCCACACTTTCTTTCTATTAAATCTTATTTTGAAGGTTAATTGGAACTTATTATAATGCATTAAAATTATTCCCTTCTGTGGAGAGGAATTTCTTATGGAATGATGTAATCAAGATTAATTGTCTGTCATTTTGTCTCACCTGGTCTCTCCCAAATTATATAACAGAAAATATGTCCAAAGAGAGAGAATTCTGTTATATTTTGGGGATGTTACATTTTGAGTATGTCACTTAATATCTTCTATTAGAAGTCATTTTTATTTGAAAAACAGAAGTTCTTTTCTTGCATTTCTGGACCTATTTTAATTACTTACATTCAAGCATACAGTACATCCTGCAAGCAGAGATGTAAAATTCCATGGTGCTCTCATCATGCATTCTGAAACCTAATACAAAATCATATTGTCTTTTAATAGTGTCTAATATAAAGATAAATGCTAGACATATCTGTAGGCCATATGATTAAATATTTATGCCTATATTAAGCAATACTTGGAAGCTTTTTATTTATTTATAATTTTGTATCTTTTCAAGTCACATTCTAGAACTAATGTCCTACAGTCTGTTCAACTCTCAGAAGAGCTCCTAAAGGGCACAAGCACTAAAGCAGAGAAGCAGAACTCTATCTTATTTGATAAAGCTACCAAAACCCACCCCTACTACCAAAGAGGAGAATGTCTAACCTTTCCCTGAAATAGTAGTAAGGTCATGAGTTCTGTTGTGAAGTGTATATTAACTGGAATAGGTCACTTACTGGTTTCAGAGTCCCAAAGGAAAAGCCACTGGCAGTGAGAAAATTGTGCAGAGAAAATGCCTAATCAGCCCAAGTAAGAAGGTTGTAAAAGAATTAAAAACAATTTTAAACTAATTAATTCTGTTTAACTAGCATATTTCCCAAATTAAATGTTACCATTTTAGTCACAAATTTCAAGCCATCTCTTTTTACTTATCAATTTAATCTAATTAAACCATTTTAAATCAAGACAGCTAATAGAAGCTCAGATCCTTTGTCCTTTATTAGTTTTATTCTTAAACAGCTACAAAGCAACCCACAACCATATGTCACATTGAGTAGTCACTTGGCATATTACTACATAAATAGCTCATGAATTCTATATGAGGGAAAATTTCTTCTTAAGAAATATTGGAAGAGGTTTTGGTTTTGCCTACAAACCTAAATAATAAAGCATTTTTTTTCTACACCACAGTTTCAGGGTCCATATAAATACTGTAGTAGCCTGTAGCTAGAAAGTAAGTAATTGAGAATAGTAGGGTTTCAATAAGGAATTTATTGTGTATTCATACCATTTTCCGCTACTAACTGACACATACTGTGTGAGTTATTGGAATAACAAAAAAGTATTGCAAATTATATTGTTAATAGGAAAATGGAGTCGATGGTATAGAATATGTACAGGCAAAGGAGGTAAAAAGTACCCTAAGAGCCTGTGTCAAACACTGAATTAAGTGAACCCTGTTACATTAAAATCTCCCTGATTACTTAGCAGAATGGGGAGGAAGAATAATAATTTTTAAAAAGCACTGTTTATTTTTTTTCTTTTAGAATGAGATGGCACATTAATATTACATGACTTCCCATACTAAATAATTAGAGACCCATGAATTCCAATTCCAATATGAAAAACTATAATTTTCTGTGTTTTGCATTTTTGTGACATTATTGTAGAGGATTGAGAGAGATCAAGCAAAGACTCTAAAGATGGTAACAATAACTTCTGATAAGAATGTTTCTCTTTTATATTAGTCTCAGCAGTCAATAATACACAACTTTTTTGCTGTATATGTTGTGGGGTTTCTCTTTCACGCATAGTTATTGGAGGAATAACCTCATGACCTATGCTGCTGAAAACTAGGCTTTTGTGAAAAGAATGGAGGCATTTTTCATAGCAGTTCACACAGTTGACCATAAGCCAAGCATGGATCAGTACATCACATTCTGTAAGTCCTGTGCAAATTCTCGCATTGATTGGAGTTGACAGGGAAATGCCCATTGTTAAACCCCATCCACTGTTAGCAGAAATGTGGCATGAAACAGGTTGAACACATGATAGCTGCTGGCACTTTGAGCGTTGTCTATTCAAATGTCAGATTAGTAAAGCAGTTTGGGGTGGGATTTCTTTGCATTGTACTTAGCACAGGCTGGAAAAATCTGGTGCGATGGTCATTTCCTGCTGACTCAGAATGCAGCAAAGCTCCTCCATGCAACATGAATGCAGTGGCCCACAGGAGATGGTTGCTTTCTGGTCTGTGCTGGAGAAGACACTGCACTGTGTTTGGAAAAGTAGAAATTATCAAAGAGCTTCTTTGACATTTGTGAAGGAAAGTATTTCAATGTGTTTTTACAACTCTTCTTTCAGAGCACAGTTTATCTCTTTGGATGCTCTGCCTTTACATTGGGGTTTTTTTTAGTGAATTGCTAACATTTGTGAATATGTGGTTGCTAGAAGAGATAGCACTTCAGAGTGTTTAGCACATAATATTGAGAGAGGTTTAAAATCAACAACAGATCTGTAAAGATAACTGGATTATGTTACAGAAATAATTTTAGTAAATGAGATTTACCCAATATATTTCTCTAAACAGAAATCTCAACATATGGCTGTTTCTATCCAAACTAGAGAAGTTGGACTCCTTCCTCCCTTTCAGAGAAAATAGACTGAAAAGCCTCCCAGCTGTATTCCTGCTCTACTAATTTTGTTTCCCTCCTTTCTACCAGTTTTTGCCCATGTGGAGAAGAAAAGGCATTTCTTGTGTTCCCTGCAACTGAACCTTTCCAAGAAGTTCTTTTTCATGGAAAGTAAGTTTCTCTGTATTTATCTATCTATCTATCTATCTATCTATCTATCTATCTATCTATCTATCTTTTTTTCCTTCTCTTCTTTCCTAAACATGCTCAGCTTGTATTTAAAGGAAACTTTTAAAACCTTTGAAAATATCACATGTTGAGTAGGTCCATGGATAATGTCTTATGGGAGTTGCTGAGCTCATATATTCATTTAAGGTTTTGTGTGAAATACTGGCAAATTCCCTTCACAGAAATGAAAAAAAAAGTGTGAGAGATGAATGATAAAACATTGGTTTGATGAACTGGGCAAAGATGATCTTCCATTAGGGAAGAAAGGCACAAGTATCCCATCTACTTTGCTCTGTCAGCATGACTGAGCTCCAATATTGAGAGTTTCATCTACAAGTAATTGCTTCTGGCCTCTCATAAGAACACTTTGTCTACACAGTGTTTGATAGATGAGGGCAAAGAAGGACCATAACATGTTGCACAGCCCATTCTCCTTTCCTTCCATGTCTGGGAAGAAAGTCTGTGTGGGGTCATACATAAGAGCTTGTTGTTATTGATTCAGTCTGGTCCTGTGGGTCACCTCCTCTCGCCCGCCAGGGAGGTTATTCCCCCTGATTCAGGGTCTGCCCTCCAGCAGTCACGTGGAGCACTGTATAGCCTGCTTGTGTCATCTACCATGCAGAAGATGCCTCTCTGTCTTCAGCTTTTCTCCCTTTTTGGCAAAAGTTTCAAGTAGAGGAGTTCATAACGTACAGGACGGGTGGCACAGGGGTGGAAAGAGAGGGAGTCAGAGCTCGAGTAGCAGCAGGAATGATGGATTCACTCCTGCAGTGCTTAGTCAGGACTCTTACAAAAGGCAAGTGCTTGTCATAGGATAACAGATGTGCTTGTTCTTGAATAAACTGCAGAGGATACTGTCATCATTGGATGTGTCGAGTAGTTTATAGTGGTGTCTAGTAGTTTATATTTTGTTCAGAAAGCTGCTGTGTGCTACATAATACTCACGGGAATTAGATGTTCTGCAATTGCATTGTGTTAACCCCATCAGATAGATTCTGTGGAAGGCTAGCAGAAGGACTCTAGGTTTTGTAAAAATTAATTCATATGTTAAATGAAAGAATTATTATCTAGGAGAGCTATTTATCTATGTAAATAATTGCCAGCCTGATTCTTTATTCACTAAGAGATAAAGCTTTTCAAACACATCACATAGAGTGGGTTCAGGATAGCAAAACACTGAATCACAGAATAATTTGTTTTAGAAAGAATCTCCAGGAAAATCCAGTTCCCTTTGCTCAAAGCAGGGCTCAATTCTAAGGCAGAGTGACCTGACCAGAGTTGTATCATTCAAGGATATCTGTAAGGTTGCAGATTTCATTTACATCTGTCTTGACACATGTTCAGCATTTGAATACCTTGTGTACTATTTTTTTTTCTAATCTGTAATTGAGATTTCCCTAATTACAACTTGTGTCTCTTGGTATCAAACAAGCAGATGAGACAAGTCTAGGTTCAGGTGAAAAGCTGGACATAAGAAGCAGTTAAAATCATGACAAATAACAGAGTTAATAAAAATACACACAGTGCTTTAAAATTAGACATGGGGCTTCACTTTGATCTCCAGTGACTACAAATTTCATACTTGATGTGAAAGAGGTTAGATTTATCATGAGTGTCCCTGGATTTCAAGGTCAGAAAGAACGTGCAGGTCACAGCTGAATATTCAAAATAGCCCAAATATTAATGGAGCACATGATAGGGACATACCTTCTTGTGGCATCATGTCTCAAAGAGGAGGGTAAAACATGATCATATAGACACTATCTCTTTTTTTTTTTTCCCATGCACAATATTGATTTTAACACTCAACAAGTAGAAGTATGTGAATTGTGGCAGTTTTGGTGAGGGAGCAGGATTCAGAGGGGCAGTAGTTAACCTCTTCCTTTCTTTAATTCCTTATCCTGCCTGCTTCCAGGGAAGCATGCTAAAGACCAGCTAGAAAATCTTTGATGTAGAACAGGATTTGCTTGAAGGAATAGCTGGCCATATTTCTCAAGAAATTATTCATTTTCTCAAGAAATAGGAATTATTTGAAGCCAAATTTCTTTAAAAGCCTCAGTTTCCATATATTTTTAATAAGTCTCTGCTTAGAGAACTTTTTAGTGTATGTGATGTATATAATAGTAGGGCAGCATTAATTAAACCCAAAAAGTAGCAGTTCCCAGGAGAGAGAAACAAAGAGCAGGAAAGTGGATATTGAGAAGGAAAAATTTCCATAAGAAATCAGGAAAGAAAAATGAGAGAGGAAGCATCTAAAACCCCCATAGAGCTGAGAGGGTAAAAAATGCATGAAAAGCATTAATAGGAACTAATGATTAAATTTTAATTTTCAAAAGAAAAGATGTATAAATAACGAATAGTAATAAGCAGTATTCATAATAAAACATGTAAGGAGGAATCCAACATGTAAAGTTAGCCAAAGAAAAAATAGTCAATAATGTTTCATTACAGACAGACTTTCTTTTTAGAGACGCTGTGAAGAGAGAAAGGCGATGAAAGCCACTCTTTCTTGTACAGTACATTATCTTTAAAAAAGAGTTTGAAAAAAATTGTAGAATAGCTCATGACACAAACTACAATAGAAGGATCACTCTGATCTGGAAATTGAGCTAATGATCCTAGTTTAGCAACTGGGACATTGCTAGTCCCAGAGACTTGTTATTCCTTGTATTAATGTCAAAATTTAGCGCTTAAATGTGGTAAAATCATAAAACACATTCAGTTTGAAAACTGTTTCAGGGAGAGGTGATTCATGTCCAAATAGAATTGGTTGGAGAGTGGATTGGATTTTGTGAAAAGCCTGGAAATACTAATTAGAAGGATAAACACTAAAATATCAAGGTTTTTTGAGTTGGAAGTTTTGCAAGAAAGGTCATAATTTTCCATGAGAAGCAGACACATATTTTAGAAGATTTTTGGTTAATCAGGAACCTAGTTTTATGTTGTAGGACAACATTTGCCAGCAGATCACTAACAGTATCTTGTTAGCAATCCTGATTCCCCACAGGTATAGAATGTAAATGATACCCAAGATGTGAAAGTCCAAAACCATCGTTATTTTGTTTGGCTTCTTAATTTTACAGCAGTTCTTTGCCTTCCTGTAGGCTGGCATTTCACTTTTTTTGATCCATTTTGTGGTTTGTTCATCCTTTGGAAAGTTAGCATCTCGTGACATTTATATCTACCTAAAAGTCATCTAGAAGATGATATTTGGAATGAAATAAAAGGAGTAGTAGAAATTAATAAGGAAGCACCCACTGTAACAAAGGATAAAGGATAAATTTTGACTTCTGTAAAATATGTTCTTTTTGTGTCTTAGAAGATGCCTAGCTTGTACACTTTGAAAATTGTAGATGGTCTAATGTTTGCTTTGCCTGATGCAACATGCCACAGTTGCAAATATATCCTCAGTACAAATAATAAAAACAACAGTAAGGCAGAGATTAAAACCTTTAGAGCACTAAAGACAAAAATTGGAAGAGGCAGGAAAGAGTTATTGAAGCAATTGAATGGGAGGGAGGCCATGTCTGTAACAATTTTTAGAGAAATATGTATGGTTTTTTCACTATGTTGTCATGTTTTTTTCATTACTGCATTGTCTGATGTTTACATCTTTGTTTTAAAATCCTGGAGGTGAGTTTTACAAATTATACTGTTTATAGAAGTTATATATCCACCTCTCTCATATCTCTCCATCTTCTGCTGGATATACAGAAATGGAAAATACTTAAAGCACAGTAAGAACAAGAGGCTCATGAAAGAGACTTCAGTGATGGTTGGCAGGCAAAATGTATTGACAGAAGGAGCACGTCGCTCAAAAGAGTTGCTTCCTGCCTTGTCCTCAAAAAAAAAAAAAACAAAAAAAACACCAAACAAACAAAAACCCAAAAATCTGACTTCTAGGAATGAGTAATAACTTCCTAATGGAAAGGGAAAGAAATCACATATTTACTAAAACAAATAGTCAAGAAATAAGTTTCATGAAATAGGCCACTTTTTCATATTCATTGTGACTGATACTTATTGATAATGCAAAAGGCAGCTGGACAAGTGCTGACTTTGCCCATCATTTGACTGTGGCCAATTCCTTGCTAGTCTTGCAATGAAGGGATGAGTTTGAAAACGTGCAAAATGCAGTTCTGCCCTCATTTCTTTGAGCAAGCATGTGCTTGAATCTGGATGAAGTCTTTATCTTTTGGCAGATAAAAGCTGGTTTTGTAAATGCTGGTGATTATTGATCCCCAGAGCACATACTCCTGGTTAATGCCTTGTTTGTAATACATGCACTGTTTCCTGAAGTCATGTTGCAAAATATGACAAGACATTTGTTTAAGTGATGCAGATGTGTCTGGTGGCAAAACTGCTGCACACAGTGGCAGTGCAGCAGGGCAAGTGCACCACAGACCTCTCCTTAGCTGAGGTGTGAAACAGCTGTCACAGCCATGACACCCTTGAAAACCAGAGCATCTGGTGAATGCCCTTGGAAGACACATTAGCCTTCATCCCAGCAGCCACATATTGAAGGAGACGTTTGTTGCAAGCTAAAGAACACTTATTTTTGTAATCGTATGTCCAGCAGCTGGGTGGAGAAAATAAATGGGCTGCTCCACAAACAGAAAAATTAACAAAACCTAATCCAGATTTGACCTAGGTCCCCACATAACTCTTTGCAATAACTCTGGACCTCTTTCATACCCATTCCACTCCCCCCAAACGTTTTATTTCCCCAAAGTATCAGCAGCTTCCCCCTGGTTGCCCTCCTCTCTGGCTGAGCTACAGGCAGCATGCGGCCGTTCAGAGCAGAGGTTGGGGTGTCCTGACCACCCATTTCCCTCCAGGATAAATGGTACTAATTGTAAATATCTCTCCTCTACCCAGTTGCCAGTGTTCATTTCTTTTTAGCAACTTAATTATCTTCAGTACTGTGGCCCCTCTGCTGATTTGTTTGAAATTGGACAGCAGGTTCACAAGTTACCAGGAAAGACCAAAAGCTCCAGGTGTCAAGTCTCATTTCCTTGGGAAACAAGAGTTTAAATAAATGGTCACAGATCAGTGATTAGATTGCAGATTCTGCTGAGAACTTCATGGGCTGAACCACTCAGAGCTTCAACTCTAAAATAAATCCATGCACTATGATGCTAAGTTTCATCATCGTGACTGTTATGTAGGCCTCATATGCCACAGAAAAAAGCTACCTTAGAGGTAGATTTAGCAAAGAAAGCTGAGGTTATAAAAAGTAGAACTTGTGTATTTCATTTGCTAAAGCTTTTCCTCTCCGTTTTCCTCTCTCCCCTTCCCTTTACTTTTCCCCTTCCCCTTCCCCTTTCCTTTCCTATTTTTGCCTTTGCTTTCAACAAAAATTATTCTTTGGCTTTTTCAGATGGACGCCTGGCTCAGAGTAAAGGTCATGCACTGCACAATCCCTAGGATAAGCTGAAAATGGATGATGTCTACTGATGCTTTTCAATGATGTCATCTCCTCTTTTTCTGTTTGAGATGGGTGATAGGAAAATGTTCTAAAATAAGACTGAGTGACCTCTTTGTCCCTTGACTTCTCTTTCCAGAAGTCTGAAAACCATCTGAAGAAATGACCACTCAGCTACCAGAGGAGTCCGTGGAGAACCAGAGCTCAGATGAGCTTGAGTGCAAGATCTGTTACAACCGCTACAACCTGAGGCAGAGAAAACCCAAAGTGCTGGAGTGCTGTCACAGAGTGTGTGCCAAATGCCTTTGCAAGATCATAGACTTCGGTGATTCCCCACAAGGAGTCATAGTGTGCCCGTTCTGCAGGTTTGAAACATGCCTGCCAGACGATGAGGTTAGTAGTCTTCCTGATGACAACAACATCCTTCTGAATTTAGCTTGTGGGGGAAAGGGAAAGAAGTGCCTACCAGACAACCCAACAGAACTGTTGTTGACTCCCAAAAGGCTGGCATCTCTGGTTAGCCCTTCTCACACCTCTTCTAATTGCCTGGTTATAACAATCATGGAAGTACAAAGAGAAAGTCCCCAGACTCTGAACTCAACCCCCGTGGTGGAATTTTACAGGCCTACAAGTTTTGACTCTGTTGCAACTGTGTCTCACAACTGGACAGTGTGGAACTGCACATCTTTGCTCTTCCAGACCTCGATTCGGGTGCTAGTGTGGTTGCTAGGGCTGCTGTACTTTAGCTCCTTGCCTTTAGGGATTTATTTATTGGTATCCAAGAAAGTCACCCTTGGGGTTGTCTTTGTAAGCCTTGTTCCTTCGAGCCTTGTTATTCTCATGATTTATGGCTTTTGCCAGTGTGTTTGCCATGAAGTTCTAGACTGCATGTCATCTTGATAACAAATACAGTAAAAAAAGGTGTATTACCAGACGTGTAGCATAGTTGATTTATCCTGTTTTTGTATTCTTTGTATTCTTATTTATTATTATTGTCCATCCCACTAAATGGAAGCAGTGGCCCTAGTTACATGGTCCCTTTTTTTCCAACTGAATTTGACACCTCTCACCCCAAGCATTTTTTGAACTAAGAACTGGAATAAAAATTACATCTTGATTTTGAAGGGCTGAATTTTAGAAAGGCATAAAGCAAAATCGCCAAACTTGGTGCCTGCTGCTGCTGCCACTGTTTAAATGAGTAGGACTTTGTTTTGTATTGGACTGATCAAGTCAGTTCATGCTGTAAGATTCACCCAGGAAGAAATTACTGTAGCAGACACCTTCCAGATGCAAGTACTGCATCTCTTCACCCAAAGCATCTCATGCTCTGAAATACCTGTTATTTATGATCCATAATCATTTACAGAAAATTAAATCACTCTATTAGTTAGTATTATAAGAATAATAAAACAAACTACCAATTTTTTAGTTCTTGTTACAGCAAAAATACTTGTGGGAGGCCAATGTTTGGTTTTTTTTTTAATGTTAAAAACTTGTCTCCAGAACACTTTCCCCAAAGAGAAGCCCAATTTTCCTTGTCATACACTTGCAGCTCACTGTGAAATATTCCTGCTAATGAGTACTTCTGGGGACGCAGCCACGTGTTTGCTGTTCTCCAGGTGCGCTTATTTCAGTGTACACACCTTAGGCCTCCCTTTGAGGGTTCAGAGCTCTGCAGATTTCTCTAGCTATGTTCTGTTATGCTTAGCCTCCCTCCCAGCATTTCCACCACCACCAGTGACATTTCCAAGCCACCAGTCCTTCCTAGTGAATGACCAACCCCATGCACATCTACTCTGTGGTAGTTGTTCTGGAGAATTTTGATTATGTGACTTTAGCTATCAAGATAGACTTTTATTCCGAATCATTAGGAAACAGATCTTCAATCAGTAACACAAATTCGAGGAAAAAAAAATCTGAAATGGTTAACTGGGGTTTTGTTTGGTTGATTTTTTGGGTTTGTTTGTTTGTTTTTGTTCTGAGTTCACAGAATGAGTACTGTAAGGAGATAATGTGACTTTTGGAAGATTTCTGTTTAAGGCATAGTCCTTCAAAATGTTTTAATACTCTGAACTCCCCCTGTCACCACTGTGAGTTGATGGCAATCTAGACGTGGCAATTAGCATGTCTCCATTAGTGGAGCTCAGAGGAATTACTGACACTTCACCATTCCACAGATAGAATCAGGCCCTGTAAGACTTGCTTGTATGTTGCATGGTTTAGGCTATTTTTTGAACTACTGGAAGAACACAAAAATAAGTAATATTTAATGTTTATGTGTATAACTAGGTCTAGCAACACCACAGCTGCAAACTGGTTTTCTTGTGCACAGCAGAGTGGAGTTGAGCAGTGCAAGCCTGGTTTTGGGTCTGGCACAAGACTTAGTCATTTCAGGGCAGTGTAAAAGGGAGAGGGGTTTGTTGCATGAAAATTGAATATATGGCCTAACAATATACTCTTAGAGCAAACAGACTTTGGTAAGAATGAAAAAATGACAGTGGGAAAAGCAGAGCCTGTCAAGAGGATTTGAAGTTAAGCTGGTTCAATTTTTGTAGGTGGCATAGGTGGTATCTGCAGTTTTATTCTTACTGCAAACAGAGAAAATGTGGAAATGTAAAGGTCCTGCTTTTCTTGACCCTCATTTTATAATAGTGCATATATATGTGTGTGTATGTACATATAGACACATATGTGAGAAGAAAACTTACAGCGAAATTATAGTTTTCAAGTGTATGGAGTTATGGAGCTATGTATTGAATGATTAAAGGAAATGTTTCAGACTTTTCTGTAATGACAATAATTATACCTAAAATATTTTCAGAATTCTTAGAAAATGCTGTTCCTAAGTAGTTGTTTTTAATGTTTGTGGTAAAGCACATGTAGTTAGAAAAGGAATCATCTCCAGTCAAGGTTTGACTCATCTATGAACTCATAAATTTTAAGTATTCAACAACAATCATGTCAAAAAGAAAGAAAAATAGAAACCTATGTGGTTTTATAGAACTTCATAACTTTTGGAAAGATGTATTTGTAGTGTTAGGGGTTTATATGTTTTAGGACTTGTTCAATTTGTCTGAATATAGTGTCTCAAATAAAGGGCTGACTAACAGAGGATATAGGTTTTGCAAATGTGTGGTATATATTAATTACCTCTGCACAACATGCTCTGCAGTGCTACCCGTTGTCTTTTCCTTTTGATTTTCAGCTGATTATCTTAGCTCCAGCACCAGGTATTTTGTACTCTGTTTTAAAACAGAGCCAAATTGTAGCAAAATTACAGTGGTGTCAGTTACACACCGCAGCACAAATTAATACACCTGTTGTTATACTTCTCTACTTTTCAGACTGCCAGCCCATTAAATTTATGCTGTTATTTCAGGCTGTGCTGCATTTCTAACCCACTCAAAGAAGCAAGTGTGCAAAGGCATATTGATTGTACAGCTATGCTGCCACTCAGCCAGACCATGATATTGCAACCTTGGGGTCATAAAATACCTATATGACTTACAATATGGCCATTGAGAATTGCTGGGAAATAAATCTCAATTATTTGTGGAGAAGAATTTTTGCTGTGTGACTGAGACTAGAACTTCAGATATTACTCTTTCCTTATTTTTATTCTCTGCCATCCTTTAGACTTTGAACTGAAAGCTCTTGTGTCCTCTGCAGTGGGATAACTGTGCTGAAATCAATGTAAATGGGGCTAAAATCAAATGGGGCATACTTCTCTGCCTGGTTTTCCTTCCTCTTCTTTGACTGTTTTTCTCTCCTTGGAAAGTAATGGCTCCCAGGGTTGTAAAATACTGCCTGCACTACAAGGCAATTCCCTTTCAGTGGGATTTATTCCATACCCAGACATGACTCAACCAAGTACAAAGTGCTAGAAATTCATTACTACAGGATTAATTTAGTCCAAATGAGATTTTTTTTTTGTTTTGTTTTAAATTCCTGCTTATCCTATGGATGCAGACTCTATCCTCGCCAGCTGCCCATTTACAGTACGATATTGTGGGATCCCCTGAGGGCTGGGGCAGGATGATGCAGGAGCAGCTGCTGGGCACAGCTTAGGAAGGATGTGCTGAGCTGGGCCATCCTGTCAGCAGCACTTGGTGAGGGATGAAGCTCTGCAGGTGTGGCTTGAGCCCAGAGCCCAAAGGGCAGTTAACAGAGCATGAGTTAACAGAGTCTGTGGGCTCTTACATAGGACGAGGGGCTAGGGCTGGGGCTGGGCTGACTGAGAAGATAAGCAAAGCAGAGAGGGGGGTTTTGTCTATGCCTGGGACAAAGGGGCTGTTTTGAATAAATATTTTGGGGTAGAGTTGCTGCAAACAGTTTAATGTTTTCCATACTGTCCCTTTTGGGGTTTAAAATTCATTTGGTAATTTAATTAATTCACTACTGTTATTACAGTTGAGTACATTTACTTTCCAAATGGCAAAGTATTGAACTTCATTCTAATTTAAATGGATCCTTAGATTTGGGCATACTCCCACTGTTATGTTAACTATTTAAAGCTACAGGACTGGCCAAAGTAAGGGCTGATGTCTTTGATTTAGCTGCGTTGTGAGCTTTACTAGGTCCTGTATATTGATTATAGGCCCACAAAACTGCATATGTTAATATAAGACACTTAAAATAGGCAAACTCTTGTCCTGATAACATTATTGGCAAAGTTCAGGGCTGCCAGTATTTAACAATGTACCCAAAAATAGACTTCCAAACAGACTTGATAACCTGAAGACATAGATAAGTTGGTGAGAGCATGATGCTGATAATGCCAAAGTCATGGCTTCGACCTCCGTATGGACCATTCACTTGAAAGTTGGATTCCACTATCCTTGTGGGTCCCTTCCAACTTAGAGAATTCTCTGGTTCTGTGGAGTCCAGCAACACACAGCCAGAGAGACAAACACAGAACAGGAAAACACAGCTTTCCACCTAAGTGGCTACACTTTAACCTGAGGAAGATGAACTGAGGAGATTCACAAGAAGGTAGATGATGTTTTTGAGGAGTTACTTGTTATTGGGTACAGGGCCCTTGTTTTTCTTAATTTTAACCAGTTGTAGTGGTAGATTCAATTCACTACTCCTCTTATTTCTGTGCCCCCTCTCATGAAACAAGTCTACATGAACAGTGGATAAACAGTATTTTGAAATGAAGTAATCTTTTCTACTACACTGAGTTTGCAGCCCAGGCCAGCACTGCAAGGCTCATTCTGAAAATATGGCAAACTGCAGCCAGGATGCGAGAGTGAACAGGATGCAGAGAGTAAATGGCAGCATGTTGTTGAAACAGTTTTAATGTCAAAGCAAGGAAAACATGGGGCTATATCCTGCCTTGTCTTAGCTGGTTCAAAACTACTGAGAAGCTGTCCCAAGCCTGAGCACCACCATGGCTCAACACCCACCCCTGCATTGCCTCTGGGACAGTTCACTTCAGCTGTGCATCTTGATTTCTTGTACAGGAGTTCTACATCATGATTTCATCTTCCTGCATGGATGGTGGGTGGAGTGAAAGATCCACAGTGTTACACTTTTAAACATTTTGACTATCCTAAGGTTTCTCAGGGTAGGGGGTTTTTTTCCATTTCTTCATATTTATTTCTACAAAGCAAGACAGCGCACTTTATTTTAAATGGAGTAGTGCCTTCAATGATTTAAGAAAAAAAAAAAAACAGAGAAAAAGAAAAAAATGTGGGGAAGAAGAACTGAGAATTTTGAAATCATTTTAAGATAATTCAAAGTGATAGAAAGAGACTGAGAGTCTTTTTACTTTCATACTAGCAGACTAGATGTTATCCTTTGAATGACATCAGTAAATATTTGGTGCTGGAGATTCTCAAGGGAGTTGATAAGTCTGCCAGACCTGAGGTGCAGACCCCACACTCCACTACTTTTCTGTAAAGCAGCATTCTTCTTTTGCATCAGCCACCTCTGTCAAAGTTGAAACATCACAGTTCACAAAGAGTTCTTGCACAAAGAATAAATCCCCAGTCGGGGGACAGTAAATCATCTTTTTAGAGACACATGTGACAGTACCAAAGCTTTTCAGTG